CAGGGTATCCTGCATGGGCCAGGGACTAGCTTCCTGACACACCAGACAAGCCACACTGTAGTTAGGTAATATGACAGAACACATTGTAGGAGGATGGGTGGGTCTCTGACGTGCTGGTATGTACCCTGTCACCTGCTTATTGATGCCTCTCTCTGGGCATGATGCAATTACAGAGCTCCTCTTTCTTCACAGCTGTCTCTCTTGTACTCAAAGCAGAGGGACCTGTGCGTTGCACATTGCAAATCCTGGTGAAGCCCTCTTCATTTTTGAGTGTTTCAGTGAGAGGTCTGATGAGGCTTGACTTGTTGACAGCTACGCAAAATGCAACTCCCTTGCTGGATTCAGCACCCTGCTGTTTATGTCATAGAAAAGAGCTTTTTATGACTCATCTGATGTATCTCTTAGTTCCTTTATCAGTATTTCCTGGAAGACCTCAAAATGCCTTCCTGTAGCTGTAACAGCTATGCAAATGCTGTAAGGTTAATTCTTCTGAACTCATCTGGACTGCTTCTAAGGAATCTCAGAGATATAGTCTCTTGCCTTTTACCAAGCATTTTTAAGGTCATCACAGACAGCCTGTTGACTTACTAGAATAATTTGCACATATTAGACCAGAAAATAGCATGCATAGTACAGGCTACGATCTACAAAATCTATAGAACCTAATGCACAAGCAGTTTTCAGTGTCTGGACCACTTTCTTGCACTCCCACTGTAATACCAGCACAAAGGTGCAGCCAATACAAGTAACTGAAGCCTGAATGTATTCCTTACCACCATTACTGCTTTTCAAAAAGTTAGAGTCCTTAAGAATTGCTCATTTATATGATGCATGTTTCAAAAAGCATTAGCCAAGTTTGTTGGCAATCTTTAAATGCCTTTGCAGCTGGGCAGCATAAAGAAAAAGATAAGAAATGGACCAAACCCCAGCAGCATCAGATATATATAAAACCAGAAACCACATCTGCACAAACGTAGTAGCATTTCACTTCCCTTTCTATGACCTTCTCAGAAAAGCTACATGCATGAAAGAACAAACCCATCCATCCCAAGATGTCGCCTAAGAGTACTCAAAAGCAGATACTTGGAAACAGAACCCTTGAACACCTTTTCCACACATTCTTTCCACTTCCATTTCCTTACAGCTCAGCAGTTGCCAAAGACAGGGGTTACAACTGTCCATTTCTCATGAAATTTTGGGTTCTTCCATTCAGTCTTTTTTTAACCTACCTAAATTTTCTGACATCCAGAGACTAGGGAGTATGGGGGTGGGGGGAAACACTGTACAGCTGACTTGACCATTGTGTAAAAACCCACTTTCTCATACTTGCTTTCAACATTTTGCCCTCCAGTGTCATTTGACTGTTGTAGTTCCTAGTCGGAAAGAGAGCAAGCAGCTCTTTCCTGTTCACTGCCTCCACTATGTTACTATTAAGGACACGTGCCTCACTCAAAATGAAACAGGCTGCTTTACAGACTAGGTCTTCGGAATGAGTTAGAGGATGTTCAATGGAGCAGATGCTCACATTGGAGCACATGGATCACAGTGGAGGTTCCCCTTAAGGTCTCCTTCTTCAAACCTTACTCTGATATTAATAAATCTGTCGGCCCCATAATGAGGGAGAAGCTGCTACCGTCTCTCTTCCAGGAAAAAAAAAAATTGTGACAGATTCTCGCTATTGTTACTCTTTGTTTCCTCACAAGGAAAAAGAGCCTTTTTCCATACTAAAGAAATGACTAAGTGCTCTTGGCACATTTAAACACAGATACAGACTAACATGTACGTTTTTAGCAACTTACTGAGAGATGAAAAAAGGCTAACATCACAACAAACCCGACCTCTGTTATCAAATCACCCTGAGTTGGTGTATAGCTCCTCGAGAGCAGCTTGTGCGGCTGCAACATCTGGGCAGCCGCCTGCCTGCGGGGGTGCGGGCAGGTGCGTGCCCGGCTCCAGGCACCCCTTGGTAAACTCTGCCTTGTGTTGCTTCCGAGATGCAAAATCACCCCGTAACTAACTTTTAAGACACACGGCGCCTTCTTACCAGAACTTTCCCGCAG